AAAAAAAAAAAATTTTCATTCTAACCTCATCTTGATCCAAATCTTTATCCCTGAAATTTAATTCTGAAAGATCAATTGTAAGACTATCTTTTTCACGATTCCAAATATCATCAGGCTCTTTCTTTTTGGGTCCCACTGTGCTTAAATCAGCTTTATCAGGCAAAAGGCTTATTCCTCTGGGTATGGGAGGGACAGGCTTTGTCCCATTTAGGCCTCGTCGGGAAGACGGTGATCGCACCAAGGCAGGTGTAAGTTGAACCGGAGGTTTTTCTTGAGAATCTTCTCCTGCATGAAAAATACATATTTTACTTTTTCCTTAATTGCTTTTTAATTTTAGAGAAGAAGAGGAAGTAATAGTCACAAGTGTTTGGAATACAGTGTATTCAAATAAAAAGAGCACATTACCTTTTGTTAGAAATAAAGATTACCATTTAAAATGAGAAATAAAAATACACATATCAGTATTTTATAATGAATATAACAAAAATGTGCCACACAAAATCCTTTCGTATTGTATGAAAATATACGCCAAATTAAATTTTTGTTATTTATCTTCATAAATATAATTATGACTAATATTTGCTGTCGTAACGTCCACAATAAGTTAGAAGGGCTATTTTTCTGGCTTAATGGTTCAAGCAACATCTGAATGACGACCATAGGCAAAGTTGTAATAATGAACAGTAGGAAGAACAAGCTAAATAAAGTCTCAGCTTGACTGATCCTGTAGAAAAGACCAAGAAGGAAAGAAACTAATAGAAGGGAATGAAGGTTCAATGCTAACAGAAAGTAATAAAATTGAATGAACATGCAATACATTTATCATTGGTGCTGTAGGGTAGTTTTAAGGGAAAACATCTTAGCTCAATAGCCTGGGATAGAAAAGAAAGTTGGGGCTGGGTATGCTGGCCCAGGCCAAGGCAAGTTCAAGATCAGCCTGAGCAAGAGCATGACCTAGTCTCAACTAAAAACAGAAAAACTACCTGGGCATCCTAGAGGGTATCTGTAGTCCCAGCTACTCAGGAGGCTGAGGCAAGAGGATCTTTTATTTTAATCTATTTTAATTAATTGATTTATTTATTTTTGAGACAGAGTCTCAAGCTGTCACCATGGGTAGATAGTGCCATGGCGTCACAGCTCACAGCAAGCTCCAACTCTTAGGCTCAAGCAATCCTCTTGCCTCAGCCGTCCATGTAGCTAGAACTACAGGCGCCCACCACAATGCCCAGCTATTTTTTTGTTGTTTCAGTTGTCATTCTTATTTTAGCAGGCTTGGGCCAGGTTCAAACTTGCCAGCCTTGGTGTATACGGCGGGCATCCCACTCACTGAACTATGGACACTGCCAAGAGGATCTTTTAAGCCCCAGAGTTTGAGGTTGCTGTGAGCTATAACACCACAGCACTCTACCCAGGGTTAATTAGGAAGACTCTGTTGCAAAAAAAAAGCATATGGGGTAAACAGGATTCCTTTCATAGAATTTTTATTTTGAAATTGGATCTGTCCTTAATGTCCTTATATGTGCTAATTTTGTGATTCTGAAGTGGATTATTAAGAAAAGAATATTTTAGTTTATAAAAAATAGAAAACCTTTCAAAACAATGTTTAGCACATAATAAACATTCAGTAAGTGTTGAATAAATGAATACTAGGCATTAATTATGAATGACATTTTACATTTGTAAAGCTAAAACTGGTTAGTAGGCTCTCAGGTAATATATGTCCATTACAAAGCATTATTATTTGCCTAGCTCCAAAGATTTTGAAGTGGCAATATAAAAAAAAAATTGACAATTTGAATTGAATTTTATCTTATAAGTTTGATCTACTTATTTCTATATTTCCTAAATATTTAATAATTCAGAAAGATAAAATGTAATTTACCAGCTTTTAACAACCCTATGTGTTAACACCAAAAAACTAATGCAAACACACAAATAAATCTGAACAAAAGTATTGACTTTTGCCATCATTTTTACCTGTAGGGTCAGATGATTTGGGGCTGACAAGCTTTTTCTGTGGACTTGGCTTTGATAGCCCTTCGAAGCTTTTAAGAGGCCAGGAACTGGAGAAATTAATGGGATTATCTTGAGACTTCTTTGGAGATACAGTGGGAGGAGATGTGTGCTTTGGACTAGTTCGAGGTGATGAAAGAGGATAGGATGGAAGGATGTAGGCTCCTGGACTTGGATTTGAACCAGGGTATGAAGAAGTACGCTCTGTTTGACTCCCAAATGTTTGCTGTGTCTTACTGCCAAAATTTAGGCTACCATACACTGTAACAAAAAAAGAAAAATAAAAAAGAGAGTGTTATTTATGTAGACACATCTAAGAGTTTCTAAGCTTTTTTGCTTTCACAGTGAGGTTTGCATAACATCTGGCATTTATATTTTTGTAGATGTGAGGTAAAGACATAATTTGTCTTGTTCAAATAT